TTTCTACAGAGAATGTTCTTTACTTTGTTGCATTTGCTAAAAGTTGATTTTGTTTTGAATCAGCTAAAATGATCTTACTTTTCCTAAATTAATATGTTTTAATATTACATGCGAACAAGGATTGGCGTTTCAATTTGAGACAGTTAATTCGAATGTTAATTCACGTGAAGTGCGATATAAACTTACAATTTTTATTATGATTATATTCACACTTTTCTTGTTATCTTACATTGTGTTTGTACATTTTTTTACTTATTGAGAGTGAATTCAAAGAATTTATAGAAATATAATTATAAACTGAAAAATAAAATTTTGGCAAGAGATAATAGCATTCCGCCTATTCGCAGTATAGGGGAAGGAAGTTTATATGCATTGTAGAAAAAAAAAAAAAAAAGAAAGCCGCGCGAAGTACCGAAGCACCTCTATTTTAATCGAAGCTGATATACGGATAAAAATAGTTTTTTGCAATAGCGTTCCAACGTGAAAGAATGAGGTGTAATATTTTGTAATGTTGTCACGTCCCAGGGGAAGGGTCTGCGATTCTTTATAAAAATGCCAGGACTTATACCGGTGCCATGAACGGTTTTGGAATCGTGTCGGTAAGGCAGGGTAATGATGGTAATGGAGAGGAGAATTTTGCGTTTTGTCTTGAAGCCACTAAAACTTCATCCAGTGGGGCTGATGGCGGCGAACTCTTGCCCCAGACGTTTGGGTCTCTCCTAGGCTGGGCATGAAAGTGGTCATCTATCCTAAAGCCGTTCCGCAACGCTGTATGCTTAACCTGGTCGCTATTGATCCGTTGGTTAGCTGCTTTTTTGCGGCAGATGTATATTTGGAATTTGTATATGATGAATGAACGCTGCGGGGACTCTACACCAGATGAGGCCCTTATCCCCAACCTGGTTGCCGGTCGAAGGGAGAGATTGAAATTGAAATTAAAGTGAGACAGTGGGGACTTGAATATGAAGACCCGCAGTATTGTAGGAACTCCAAGACGTTGGGAGACGTCACAAATGTAATCTATGGAATTCATTAGAAATGCGGTTTTCTACTTAAAATTCATGTTCTTTGAATAACTACAGCCGTATTTTGCTGATATTTATATCTTCACTCATAGAATAGATCTGTAATATCTGTAATTATGAAAATATAAGTACTCTGTATAGAATTAACGTTCTTTCTTAACATTTTTCATTAACAATTTCTATTTTTATTACACTTATGTGTATGATTATAATTACATTCACTATTCTTAAATGTCATTAGCATTCTTTTTAACCACTTATGCCATAGATCAAAAGAATATAATGGAATTAACTTTTTAAAATTTTCAGTAATTGTAATTTAAGCACAAAAATATTAGTTTTCTATTGTTATACATTTTTCTTAAATGATGAAGCCTGAAATAACATTTATCTTGCAATTATATGTTTTGATAGCTACAACGTCTATTATGCAACAAATAAAAACAGTATACATTTATTTTGATTATTAATTTACTCATTCATTATTCAAGGTTATTTACTAATAAACTCTAAAAGTTTTTTACTAATAATAAACTCTAAAAGTTTATTATTCAAAGCTAAATAATGCAAAGTAACAATACATATTTATTCTATACGCGATGACAAGTCTGAAATATACTAACTAGTAATGGTCTGATCATGTAATGCCTTTATTCACTTGACCTTACTTACGCAGTAGATCTAAATGGTTTGTTTTAATATTAATTTTGTCTTTTTTATTATTTATATATATATATATATATATATATATATAAATAATAAAAAAGACAAAATATATATATATATATCTTGTTACATCAGTGGAAACTAATTTCATATGAAATTTTTGCACTTATAATTTTATTTAGAATCATGGTTGTGTATTATGTAATATCAAAGAATTTCATAGAGTATTTCTTTTTATACAGTGATATTTATTTATATTAATATAATATAATATAAAATTT